ACCGGTGATGGCCTCGTCCGAAAACCCACCCTTGAGCAGTTGTTGGTAGCTCCGCAACAACTGCTTGTCCTTCAGCTTGGTTTGTAACAGCACTTGCTTGTCAATCAGCTTCGTTTTTCCTTTCTTAACCATCTCCGTAAGCTTCGACACACCGAAGAGCCTCTCTTCTTCACTGACGCCATCGTCAACAGTCGCGGCATTGTCAGACCTTAAGAGCCGTTTGCCAGACGTGCCACGATATTCAGCAGCAGCGCGTTGCGCAGTGGCACCTTCTTGTTCAGTGGCAAATGCAGATACGGCATCACACGACGCGATGGCAATACACATCGCTAACAGCAGTACGTATATCGGACGCGTTTGGTTCTTGTGTAGAGCTCTTGAGGTTTGGGTCTTGAAGATAAATCGAAAGTGAGACTTGTAGGTTGTTGATCAGGTCGTACCGGTACAGTAAAAGTCTGAGCCTAAACATCAGGGCAAAGTCAGAAGCATAATCAGAGCATAAACATAAGATCAAAAACCCTCAATAATGATTGAGAATATGGGAGATAGAGAAAAAAAAAACGACTCATGGAAGAGTGGGGAAGATTTTGTCTAGCTAAACGAAGTCGCTCTGTTCTCGAAGAAGTTTTGAAGTTTAGCAAATCAAGAAAACCAGTGATGTTGAGGTTAAGTCAATATGCATGGTATTGTGTCTACAGATTTCATTCACCGTTTGCAGGAGCAGCATTATCTTTCATTGCACACTACATCGGTTTCTAACAGATATTCTAATACGAACTGTTCGATTCAGGTATTTTCGGAAATATTATGTTAAAAACAATCGACTGGGAGCTTTTTTCAGCATTGTACGAGCAATATGTACAGCTGAGTTTAAGTTCGGTTAGGTACGAATATGGATAGGATGCAATTATCTCGAAAACTCCAAATAGTAACATTTTGTTCGATACGGACGAAGTCACTTGTATTAAAAGTAATATTGCATCATATATGAAAAAATACATATTGTATACAAAAAACATTGAGTTGAGAACCCTCCAAACAGATCGCCAATCTCGGGGACTTAGGTTCGTCAGAGCCGTTTTGTTTGACGCGGTCACACGAAAGGTTCCCTACAAATCAAAGTACGAATAGCATTTCAAGAGGATTATCCCCTAAATCCGGTACATGCAGTCAAAGTACGCACCTTAAGCATAAGGGCATGTCCGTTTTGCTGCACCGACTACAGACAACTAATTGACGTCTGGCTTAACTGGTGGAGCTACATGTAGCAGTCTATTCGTAACTTATCAATAGAGAAGGCATCTTACACAGTTTAAGGATGCATAGTTACAAAATAATAATAATGGGTTAGCTGAGAATTCGTCGTAAACATCTGCAGCACCGACTTCATCTAGATAATTCAGCTGCCAAGGGGTCAGTGTCCGTTGCTGGTTCGTTGAGTTCCAAAATTCCGGGATGACGCGAATGTGAGAGAGCTGAAAGATTTAAGAAAGATATTGATACCAGCTGAACGTGGCCTTACCTTGTCAGTAAAATGTGTAATTTGGACCTGATAGTTTGATGCTATTAGGCTCTTGCTCCTTTAATGGGAAGAATCCGTATTTCTAGGTACCATTGTAGCCTTCATTTTCCTAAGTTCGTCTTATTTGCTTAACAGTTCATAACCACGCTATCGGCATCTTCAATCGAGATAGTGTCGTTATCCACGCTCTCACAAAACGTGCCCAAGCTATCACACCTTCCACATTTTACTCTCAGTATTAGGTGATGACTGGCCATTTTCTCCACTGCATCCATTCGATTCTGAGAAGTGTTTTGCTTTGGTATTCGCTTAGTTCGCATGCCTTTCTTCTGAACATCGCTGAAGACAATTATCGTGCTTATCTAGTAGTGTATCCAGCTGTACGGCACACGAGCGTGTTGTATATGCATCTATTGGCTGGTACCATTTATCACATTAGAGCGTGTTCACTACGTAGCTGGAGATGGAGATCGACAAAGCTGCTTGGACAGGATTTGTCAAAACGATGTCAGTCCCAACAACACAGCCAGAGAAATAACCGTGTCTCCTTCTCTACCTCTAACAGGTAGAGAATGTTGGAGACAGGTCGAGACATCCACAATCTAAATTCTGCAATGGACGACGACGAAGTAGTAGTTGCTGCCACGTGCATTGCAGCCGCTCATTTTGTTGCTGTTGTTGCTGCAAGCCACGAGGCTGCCCCTCCGGATGCCAAAAACAGAAGCTCACTTTTTACATTTTGAACTTCGAGCCTCTGCTCTGGTCGGCTGCCTACGAAAGCTGGTTTGAAAGCAACCTCAGATGCACCCAACGGACATTTCTGCTAATCTGCAATTTTTTCCGAGAGAACGGCATTCGTTTCGCTGCGGTAAAGACAAGGCAGCACTCCTACAAAAAAAAATGTGGCTGTTGCTCTCTAGTTTGTAGGCTCGGTTGGAGGTTATCGCGAGGTCAGTGCAGCGATGGGAATGTCACGAATCTACGTGATGGAGATTACTACGGAAGTGGTACGGGTTTTAAGAGACGTCACCCCATTTGTAGTGGCATTTCCGCGTGATCAGAACGGTTGGAATGCAGTAGAAGCGGGTTTTGCCGCAAGACACGGTTAT